CACACATCATTTCATTTAATCTTGTGCACAAGGAAATTGTATAGATGTTTTCTATGTCTTCATTCTACAGATGACGATGGTGTCAGACTCATGTCCAGATCACCTACTTAATAAGCGGCAGAGATGGCACTTGAACCAAGCCTCCGCCAAAGCCCGTGCCCTTGACAATATTATGAAATGTGCTTGATATTATATCTTGTAGCACGGAGGTAGCTCATGAAACAATAATTTTTACAGAGAGCAGATTTTTACAGGTGTGCATATATTCTCCATTATTCTAAGAACTCCACATTACAAAATGCTCTTTGGGATCTCAAGCAGTTTATACCTTCATTCAGAAAATCTGAAAAATTCTAGAAAATGAAAAATTTATAAAAAGCTACAGAATCCAAGGAATAATTTAGAATAAAGAAATCAGGTTGGATTTGAAGTAATCCTGAGGATACTATGTCTTGAAATTGAGATTCAGAGCAAAGTATCTCACTATGTCTTAAAATTGAGATTCAGAGCAAAGTATCTCATAACGTTAGGTGGAGGAAGTATTTTGAAGAGAAAAGGCTCCTTGGACCTGAAAACAAAAAAGAATAATAGCCAACATTTACTGAGCTGTAATTTTGTTTCAGGAACTTCGCTAGATCATAAAACCATTAAAACTTATAGTGGAAAAAAAAGTGACATGGAATTGGACATTAAACCCTAAGCCAGCTCCAAGAACAATCTAGAGCCAATTGGTAGGAAATGAGACAGATAAAGTACTGCAAGTCCTATTGATACTAAAGAAATTATCTTATGTATTGGGAGAATGTGACTACAAAATTCCTGTTTGTCCTTGGCAATTACCATTTAGTGCGTGATACTGAACAAGGTAGAACAATTTTCAAACATGTGGTCATATCCTATAGCAATGGATGGCTTCAATGTAATGTGCTATTGGAAAGGTGAAAGGAGAAAGGCTAGAAATCCCACAGACAATAACTCTTTAGCTTAAATATTATTTTATTCATAGGAAATATATTCACAAGTTTCAAAATTCTTAAAATGTACCAAGGGGCATACTGTCAACACTTCCACCCAAATTAATAAGCTATACATTCCCTTTTCTGGGGATAACAAACTATTATTTGTCTAGAGATACTCTATGTGTGAGCAAAAATACATGTGTGTATATATACACACAAACATATACATATATAATCTTTTTTGCCCAAACGATAGTGTGCCATACACACTGTTCTGATTATTACTTTTCCATTTAATATTTCTTGAAGATCTTTCCACGTTAGTGCAGAAAACACCCTTGCTCCTTTTCATGGCAGTATAGTATTGCATTATTTCTATGTTTCCTTCCTGTGGAAATTTAAATTGTTTGCTACATCTGCTGTTACAAATAATACTTTAATGAATCCATTTGTATTAAAATCACTTTGCCATGTGCCAGTATATCTGTATGATAATTACTGAGAAGTAAATCTGTGGTCAAACGTTATATGTATTTGTTAGTTTGATAAATATTGCCACACAGGGAGGGATATTAGGGAATTTCTGTTGGAAGTTTCCCTGAAATTTTGGTCACTGGTTTCTTAAATAGACTTTTCAGCTAATAACAAAGTACCAAATAGGATAAAGATATGTCAATTAATGATAACAGTCACAATTTGTGTGTATATACTTGCTATATAATTATTCATATATTTGTTATATATAACATATTTTCTATTTATGAAATATATAACTGTGTTGCTTTTTTATGTAACTATCTTCATTATTTCTTTAGGATATATCTCGGACATGGAAAGTGTAGGTCAAAATTCATAAACTTTTGCCTGCAATATAAAAGGAAGACATTTGATAATCTATAGGCATTCAGATCATATATTACTCACATTCTCATCTGAGGAGAATTTCTGCAAATAAACTATAATCAAACACAAAACAATACAGTCCTCAAGAGAGTGGAAAAAAAGGATCAATGGTGATCAATGAATAGGTGTATAGGTTGGAAGACATATTGACTATCCAAGCTTGCATAATCTAAAGGCTGAAGAACTCTCAAAAAGGCAGATTTTATAAACTTTGTAAGTATTATACCAGCACAATCTAGGAATTAGGAGATTAGGATAAAAGTGGTGGAGTGAAAGTATTCTGTTTTGACTTCATTTCAATTTGAGGGATAATTGAGGTGTTTAGAGCACACCCTAGTGGAGAAAACAGTTTATGGTCTTAGAAGTTAAATTATGAGAGAAGAGAAAAAGAAGGCAATCACTTACTGAATGAAAAAAATGAGTAGCGTGTTCAAGTTAATGAAAAAAAATAGTGAATGACAACTTCACCAATCAGCAAAAATTAAAAAGTGTAAAAAAGAGAATGCAATAATTCAAATAATTAAAAATAAAGTATGATGGAAAGAATAAAATGTAGTACATTAATAATTATGTTCACATAAATAGAATAGTCTAAGTATTCTCATCAATGACCCAAACATTAAAAAAGTAGTTAAAACATACTCGGATATATGTATTTATAAGTAGTATACTTTAAACAGTGAAAAAGAGAAGTTAAAAAGTTGTACAAAGAGATAGCGGACAAAAGCAAACTAAAAGAAAGCAGGGGAGTAATATCAATATCATAAAAATAGAATTAAACTTTAAAGTGCTAAATAGAATAAAGATACATCAATTAATGATGTTATAATTTATAAAGAAGATATATTAGCCATAAACCTATCTACACTAGACAGCATAGAAACTAAACCTTTACAACAAAATGATCCTAGGTATATGAGAATTTGATAACAATATTTACATAGAATTTATTAAATCTTGGTGGTAGAAAATAGGTTATTATTTTGAAGATTTTAATATATTTAATAAATTATATACATATATACACACACACACATACATGTTTTGTGTATATATTTAAAACTATCTTCCCAAAGAGAGATCACATTTTTTTGGTCAATATTTACAACATATATTATGTAACTGACTGCCCAAAAGTCCATAACTAGAGAATTATAGGTCATGTTTTCTTATTAAAATAAAATGGGGCCGGGCGTGGTGGCTCATGGCTGTAATCCCAGAAGTTTGGGAGGCCGAGGCAGGCAGATCACTTGAGGTCAGGCGTTCAAGACTATCCTGGCCAACAGGGCAAAATCATGTCTCTACCAAAAACACAAAAATTAGCCAACATGGTGGTGCATGCCTGTAGTCCCAGCTGCTCGGAAGGCTGAGACAGGAGAATCGCTTGAACCTGGGAGGTGGAGGCTGCAGTGAACTGAGATCACGCTACTGCACTCCAGCCTGAATGGCAGAGCAAGACTATCTCAGAAAAATAAATAAAATGAAATGGTAGATAAATAATAAGAATGAAAATGCCTAATCACTAAATAATGAAGAAAGATGCTTGGATTTAAGAGGAACTTAACAGAAAAACAAAAAATATCTAGAAACCAGTAAAAAAATTCCCATAAAATATTGTCTATAATAAAAAGTGCTCTCAGGGCCTTCATTAGAGCAAGAAATAGAGAAGAAGGAGGAAATAAGAACTTTTCTTCTTATTTCAAGAAATTAGAAAAATAGAAATAGAAAATAGAAATTAGAAATCAAAAAATTAGAAAAGTAGGTCCGAATAAACAAGACATTTTTGAAGAGAGAAACTTAATGAAATGCAAAAAGTCAAGAGGATAAATCTATCCTAAAGCTGTTTTTTAAAAAGACCTGTAATATAGGAAAACCCTTTGTGAGCTGAATAAAGGAAAAAAAAAAAAGTCAAACAGGCATCATTATGAAATTGAGAACTTTTTATGTAAGGGAGGACCCAAGAATTATAAAGATCAAATGCAATTCTGTGACAAAACATTTGTTATAGAAAGGAGTACTAGCAAAATATATCAAAATCAATTGCTATCAGTTCACCATATTGAAATCTTCCTGATCAATCACATATTTTAGCTGATATTTCTTTTGAAATATTAGGACTGTCGATTAGATTACAAGGTATTGTAGCCTGTGAGCCAAATTCTGTTTGCAAAATGAGTATTAAGAGCTCAAATTCTAAAGCCATACTGCTTGAGTTTAAGTCCTTACTCTTTCATTTATTTGGTTGTATGAAATTGACCGTAAGCAAATTACTTTTCTGTGCCTTATTTTCCCCTCTACACAATAGGCATGGTGATGCTCATAGTAACAGAAATTACCTCATAAGCTTGCTATTCAGACTCCATTATGGAATGCACAAAGAAAACATTTAATAGAAGATTGGCAAAGGGTAAGAAATGTTAGCAATTATTTTGCCTTTGATTTTGTCCAACCATCCAACAAATGTTTTTGAATATTTGCCTCTGTGCCTGTTCTATTCTAGCTACTGGGGCTGTGGAAATAAGCAAGAATAAGTACCTGCCCTTACGAAGTTTACATTCTACTAGGAAAGACAGAAGTGTAATTTCAAGGAATGACAAGAGCATTGATCTATTGTGTGGTGATTTATAGCCAATAAAAATAGTTTAATGTTCAGTAATACAGAATACAATGCTCATTTCTATTATAACCTTCAGTTTACGTATGTGACGACAAATAAGACAAAACGTTCAGGCTTCAGCAGGAAGATTTAGGTTTGAATCTTAGCTCTGCTATGTACTATTTACCTTTCGTCAAGTTTACTTAACATATCTGCTTTGATTTATTCATCTGTAAAATATGGATACTAATAGCCCTCTCTGAAAACTGTGATGAGATTAAATGAGTTAAATGGCTGTAGCATGAAACATGTCAGTTTTCTCTTCTCTGTCTTCATTCATTCATTCATTCATTCATTCCCTTCCCTCTCTCCATTCATAAATTCCCTTTTTTCTGTCTACTTCTCTTCATGCACTCTCTTCTTTCTTTGGTCTTTTCCTTTTTTAATTTTATTTTTCCTTGGAAATTATGGTACATATTCATTGATACATGCTTGAAAGTAATCAGAGTAAAATACATATTTTTCTTAACGTGCTCTTACAGGTAAAAGAGAGAGTAAAATGGAATGGGAAAACCAGACCATTCTGGTGGAATTTTTTCTGAAGGGACTTTCTGGTTACCCGAGGCTTGAGTTACTCTTTTTTGTGCTCATCTTCATAATGTATGCGGTCATCCTCCTGGGCAATGCTACTCTCATTTTAATCAACATCTTGGACCCTCACCTTCACACCCCTATGTACTTCTTTCTGGGGAACCTTTCCTTCTTGGACATCTGCTACAGCACCACCTCTATTCCCTCCACGCTGGTGAGCTTCCTTTCAGAAAGAAAGACCATTTCCTTTTCTGGCTGTGCAGTGCAGATGTTCCTTGGCTTGGCCATGGGGACAACAGAGTGTGTGCTCCTGGGCGTGATGGCCTTTGACCGCTATGTGGCTATCTGCAACCCTCTGAGATATCCCATCATCATGAGCAAGGATGCCTATGTATCCATGGCAGCTGGGTCCTGGATCATAGGAGCTGTCAACTCGGCAGTACAAACAGTGTTTGTGGTACAGTTGCCTTTCTGCAGGAATAACATCATCAATCATTTCTCCTGTGAAATTCTAGCTGTCATGAAACTGGCCTGTGCTGACATCTCAAGCAATGAGTTCATCATGCTCGTGGCCACAACATTGTTCATATTGACACCTTTGTTATTAATCATTGTCTCTTACATGTTAATCATTGTGAGCATCTTCAAAATTAGCTCTTCTGAGGGGAGAAGCAAAGCATTCTCTACCTGCTCAGCTCATCTGACTGTGGTCATAATATTCTATGGGACCATCCTGTTTATGTACATGAAGCCCAAATCTAAAGAAACACTTAATTCGGATGACTTGGATGCTACCGACAAAATTATATCCATGTTCTATGGGGTGATGGCTCCCATGATGAATCCTTTAATCTACAGTCTTAGAAACAAGGATGTGAAGGAGGCAGTAAAACACCTGGTGAGAAGAAAAGTTTTTAACAAATAAATGAGAAAGGTGTGAGTAATTTTATGATTACAATGTGGAAATCAATTAGAGAAACCAGAGTTAAACATAGTTGCTGTTTCACTTTCCTCTCCCAAAGCTCTAAAGCACCAAAATACACTTCTCTGATTGCAATACCTAATGAAAAGAACTAAATAAATAAATTTCAGTGTTTTGGAAATTGATGATTAGAGTTTTGTTTGGTTTTCATTGTTGAAGAGCTTGATTGTGAAGCTAAGTAGAGACAGAATGTAATATGGAGGGGGATTTCTAGTTACGAGTAAAACCTTTTTTCCCCTTAATTTTTGATAAAATTATTTCCAAACCAACTTCATACTTTCTTTACAAGACAGAATGAATCTGTTTTAGATCTTTTAATAAGTCAGTTAAAATTATGCATATCCAATATTGTAATTAGTAAAATAATTTATTTGGAGTCTACTAAAATATGACCTGGCCCCCTTGAACTTAGGTCTGAGCCCTGGAGGTGATCAGGTACAGGCCACAGTTTAAAAACTTGTTGTGAGCCAGGGCACAAACAGCGCTGTTTTGGGGTACCGATGACAAAGCATAATGCCTATTTTTTTGTGTGTGAAACACCTTGTAGCTTTGGAACAAGATGGCCTAAGGGAGTCAACCACGGAGTAATGACCATATATCTCTCTTTGCTTATAACTATTCTAGTTAATAGCAGTTACCCTAGTGTGATTATTAATAGTTCTCCCTTTCACTATCAAAAGTGTTTCAGTTTGGATGATCTCACATATGGTCGCCCTAAATAGCAGGGCAGCAGGACCATCAGATTCCAGGGAAATGATAGGAGAGATGGCAGATCGTGGCACTGTGATGTCAGTGTCCTTAGGGAAACAAAGTGGGCACACAATATTCAATACGTGTGAGATATTCCCAGGAACCCTTCAAAATAAATGGCTGAGCCATCAAGTTTGAGGGTGTTCCATTAGGGTAACATGCTACAAATTAGATTTCCAATTATCTAAAAATTAAAAAATATGTATCACTTACTTAGAATAAAAACTTTATATGGAGTTGTTGATTTTTTAAGGACAATAATTCACCAGCATGGTTAGTTATCATTTCTGATTGCACCTTATTGGGATTAAAAAAGACTATTAGTTGTGTTTTAAAAAAATCATGTATCCTTTGTAAAAATATTTATTTTTAATTTACAAATAACTATTGTGTATATTCATGGGGTACAATGTGATGTTTTTAATCTATGTATACATTGTAGAAAGATTCAATCAAGTGAATTAACATAACTATCACCTCACCAACTTATTTTATAGTGTTGAGAATGTTAAAAATTTATCCTTTTAGCAATTTTGTACATTACATTATTATTAATGGTAGGCCATATGCAGCGCAACAGATCAGTAAACTGACTCCTCCAGCCTAACTGAAGCCTAGTGCAATTTGATCAACATTTTCTCTTTCCCTCTTCTTCGCCTTCCTCCTGTGTCAAGGCTTTTTGGTAATCACCTTTCTACTCTGTTTCTATGAGACTGATTTTTTTTAGATTCCACATATATGTGAGATTATACAGTATTTGTCTTTCTGTGCCTGGCTTATTTCGCTAAGCATAATGTCCTCCACTTCCATCCATGCTGTCATAAATGTCAGAGTTTTCTTTTTTAAGCCTGAATAGTATTTCATTGTATATATGTACCATGTTTTCACTCGTTAACGAAGACTTAAATTGCTACCATATCTTGGCTGTTGTGAATAATGCTACAATGAACATGAAATGATGATACCTCTTTGAGATACTGATTTCATTTCCTTTGGATATACCCAGAAGTGGGATTGCTGGATTATACAACAATTCTGTTTTTAGTTTTTTGAGGAAGCTCCATACTGTTTTCCAAAATGGCTATGGTAATATACATACCCAAAAATAGTCTATAAAGGCTTCCCTTTCTTCACATTCTCACCAATACTTGCTATTATTCATGTTTTGATAATAGCCATTCCAGCAGGTATGAGGTTATGTCTCATCGTAGCTTTAATTTGCGTTTCTCTGATGATTAGAGATTTTGAGCATTTTTTTCATATATCTGTTGGGCATTTGCATTTCTTTTTGCTAAAATGTCTGTTCAAGTCCTTTGCCTATTTTAAAAATCAAGTTATTTGTTTTCTTGCTATTAAGTTATTAGAGTTTCATTTATATTTTGGATATTAGGCCTTTATCAGATGTATTGATTGCTAATATTTTCTCCCAATCCATGGTTGTTTATTTACTCTGATAATTATTTCCTTTACTGTGCAGAAGCTTTTTAGTTTGATCCAGTCCCATTTCTCTATTTTTGCTTTTGTTGCCTGTGCTTTTATAGTCCTATCAAGAAATCATTGCTCAGACCAATGTCAAGGAAATTTCTTCCTATGTTTTCTTCTAGTAGCTCTATAGTTTCAGGTTTTATGTTAAAGTCTTTCAACTATTTTGAGTTGCTTTTGCATACAGTGTGAGATAAGGGTCCAATTTCATTCCTCTGTATGTGGATATTCAGTTTCCCAACACCATTTATTGACGACGTCGTCCTTTCCCCATTGTGTGTTCTCAGCATCTTTGTCAAAAATCAATTGACCTTAAATACTTGAGTTTATTTCTTAGCTTTCTACTCTGTCCCATTGGTTGATATGTCTGCTTTTATGTGAGTACCATGCTCTTTTGATTATAATAACTTTATAACATATTTTAAAATCTCAGCATTTGATACCGTCAGCTTTGATTTTGCTTCAGATTGTTTTGCCTAGGGAGGGTCTTTTCTAGTTCCATATAAATTTTAGGATTATTCCATTTTTATGAAAAATGACATTGGAATTTTGATAGGAATTGCATTGAATCTGTAGATTGCTTTAGGTAATAGGGACATTTTCACAATATGAATTCTTCTAATCCACGAACATGTAATATCTTTCTTTTTTTTAAATTTAAAAATTTTTGTTTTTATTTTTTGAGACGGAGTCTTGCTCTTGTTGCCTAGGCTGGAGTGCAGTGGCATGATGTCAGCTCACCAATGTGGGTAACCACCCATATAGGTACCAAGGAAGGAGAGCTAAGCAGAATCCTAGCAGAATCCTGGCACAATTAGGGCCTGAAGAATATCTCAGTTTATAGTGTTACTACTCAGTTATTTCCCTTTATATAATCCTCTCTCTATATAATCATATATTAGTTCATAGAATGAGTGCCTTAAGAATATCTTACCACTCAGTTATTTTCATATATATATATATAAGACTATATCTTAGTTCATAATCAGGGGAATGCCTAGAGTAGACACAGTACAGAGCATGAATTAAGGAATAAGTAGCTTATAGTTGGAGGAATGTCTGGAGCAGACACAGTCTGGAGCAGAGTATGATTTAAGGGTAAAACAGTTATACCAGGACAAGAATCCAAGGCCCAGGTGGCAGTATTCAGTATTGTAAAGATAACCGCTGTATGGCAGGCTGGGGCAAGAGCCACTCCTCCTGATAAAGAAGTTGTAGGACCTTGCTCCAGATCTTGTGGAAGGCTGCCCTCAGACTGGCAATCCCTTGAGCATCCGAGGGCTCAAAACCCCTCCTGATAATCGCACCTTGGTGACTGTGAGCTTTATCAGTTCTTGTTACTGTGCTAGCTCAAAAAGCATCCTCCTATAGAACTCATTGGAAGCTGCCAGCAGGTGGCAGTAGACCTTGACAGCTCTGTCACTGCTGTGTGACTTAAGCATCCTCCTATAGATCTTCTTAGGAGTAGCATGCCCATAGATAGAGGTATTGCACACTGCACCCTCTTTACTGCGCATGGCCCACCTCCATGCCTTGATGACCTAATGAGAGTGGACCCCTTACTGCACATGGCCCACCTCCTGGCCTAGGTGACATAATGGTGGTGGACCCCTTGTTTTATTGCTCATGACTCTATCACTATTCTTAAAGATGACTTCACTCACTACCCTGCCCCCAATGTATACCGAATAAATACAGACACTTCTGGACATTCAGGGCCTCACCTGTCTCTGCTTATAGGTGGCATGGCCCCCCTGAGCCCAGCTGCGTTTTCCATGTACTTCTGTGTCCTATCTCTTTATTTCTCAGATCCTGCACCTCAGCAAAAGATAAGGAACACCTCACAACCCTGTGGGGCCCTCAGCCCTACACAGCACAACCTCCACCTCCCAGGTTAAAGCCATTCTCCTGTCTCACTTCCCAAGTAGCTGGAATTACATGCATGCACCATCATGCCCTGCTAATTTTGTATTTTTAGTAGAAACGGGGTTTCTCCTTGTTGGTCAATCTGGTCTCAAACTCCTGACCTCAGGTGATCCACCCGCCTCAGCCTCCCAAAGTGCTGGGATTACAGGTGTGAGCCATCGCGCCCGGCCCGTGTAATATCTTTCGATTTACTGATGCCTTCTTCAATTTTTTCATTAGTGTTTTATAGTTTTCAGCGTACAGATCTTTTACGTCTTTGATCTAAATGATATGTGATCAAGTCATCTAAAATGATATGTGATCATTAAATGATCACAAGTAAAAGAATGAGGGTCCAAAACAAAACAACTCTACATTTTTTCACTGGAACATGTTAGCTCTTTTATTAGAAAATTATGCTTACTGGCTTGTAGTTTATGAGATGAAGGGTATATAATGACGAGTCTATTTTGAACTTGAACACCTTGGCTGATAATTTAACATTAAAATATAATGAGATGATATCTATAGACAGAAAATTTCAAATACTCCCTTATTCTTGATCATTGCTAGGGATTAGACAGTTCTCTTAACATTGCCTCATAGCTATACATTTGCACATGGATTTCTTTCTGTTCCATCGATTTGTATATGCCATTGCTTTACAAGACATTTGTTTATAAGACATCCTTGGTATACTTCTTGCAATTAGCCTTTTCAGGCTGTTATAGACAGCCTCCATTATACTAAAAGATAAATAAAATGAAATCCTTAAAAATGAGATGTTATTCTTGGCCCTGTAAATTCTGGGGTAGTTTGAAGATGTCAGGATGTGTTGTCTGCCATGACTCTGAAAAGACTAACATTAAAAGCCATACTTTTCATTCTCCACTGGCCTGGGGAAACTGATTTTCTGGTATCTATAAAAACCTGAGACAAAATGTATTATTTAATATTATCTTGAGTTATCATAGCTGTGAACTACCTTGAATTCTAAAGATGAAGTCTCCAGGGTTTCCATGTATGGATCATTAAGTGTCTTCTTTAGGTTACCTTGAGGTTTTGGGGAGGCCATGCCTTGCATATGGAATGGATGCTGATGAAAGGTCAACTAAAGCTAAGGCACTACAATCATGTGCCATTTAACAAAGTTTTCATCAATGACAGATAACATATGTGACATATTTGACGGTTGTTGTCTCATGAGATTATATATTTTTACTGTAACTTTCCTGTTACAGTATTCCTGTTAGTTATTTTAGATACACAAAAACCATTGTGACACAGTTGCCTATAGTGTTTAGTACAGCAATATGCTGCACAGCCTTGTAGCCTAGAAGCAATAGGCTATGCTATTTAGCCTGAGTGTGTAGTAGGCTGTCCCATCTAGGTGTGAGTAAATACCCTATGATGTTTACATCATAATAAGATTTGCCAAATTATGCATTTCCCAAACTGTACCCCGTTTTTATGACTGTAATGTTTTTTCATGCTGAAATCTCCATGAGTCTAAAGAATATTACTCTCTGTAATACTCTTTAAATTTGCAGACATGTAGATTTGTGTCTAGTTTCCCCAGCCCCCATAGAAAGTGTTGGTCAGAAACATACAATTTTTAAGGAATATATAAAAAACAGATCCATACTTATTGAAAAGGAGAGATATACTCAGTTTTTAATGTTTGGATCCAGTTAGAAGGGATGTCAGTTTATTGTTAATAACACTGACTCAGTTAGTGTAGATAAAAGAAGATTTTCGTCTTCTAAAAAAAAATACTTTATCCTCAAGTATATTTTTTCACCTTAAGTTTTCAAATGCTCTATGATATGAGTTCCAATTACGGGGTTCCAGGCGGAATCTAAGTTGGAACATAAAATATTCAGGACAGCTGACCTTGGTCTGTGCTAAAATAGGTGAAGCTT